TGAATACTCTTACATATGCACCATTACTGAGATGGACCCTTCCCTATAACATGCTTGCCTCAGCACTACCTTCCATCCCCTCCCTGTGATGGAGTTGGGAAATTGTATTGTCCCTGCTCCCCTGTCTTTTCCCAACCATTGTTCTCTCTGACCAATCTCTCCCTTTTTAAAAGTTCACCTCACACTCTTATGTCATCCTTTTTGGCATGTGATCCCTAATTTACCTTTCTACCCCTTCCCCTGATTGCAGTCTTTGTTGCAAGTAGGGGACATTTGTCCATGTCCTACTAATGACTTTGTTAACACTTCCCACATTCTGATCTAAGAGTTCCTCAACCTGTCAACACTTAAAAAAATGTTTATTTCTATTTCACTGAAGTTGTCCACAAGCTCAGCTATCCCTAGTTCCTAATTATCTCTCAGCAGTTCCCAGGATCTCAGTTCTACAATCCCTTTTCTCAACATCCCCTCAATTAATCTGCTTTTCATCTTCATTATAATAGCCAGTCCCCAGACTAGATCAGCTTCAAAGTCAATAAGCCACTCTGGTGTCCCTTTCTTCCCTACCCCCAAAGATCCCAAGGACACTCTTCTACTAACCTCCATTCCCTTGCTTCATTGCCCACTCATCATGTCCACTGAAGCCAGTCTCCAGCCTGAAGAAGACCATAGTGTCTGCTTTCCCTAATCCTAATTCCTTGCTGCTAAGAGTTAATCAAGATGACCGATGAGAAAGGCAGCAGCGGTGATGGTACATTTTCTGAGAGTTTCTAGGGCCAAATGCTGTTGCAAATGCTCTACATGCATTATCTTAAAACACTGATAAGCTTCACTACAATAGGATGCTATTCAGTATGTTCCACCTGGGTTTTCTGTGCTATTAAGTAATCATATGTCTGTCTTTAATTGACCCTTTACCATATTCCTCATAGTAACTATCTCAAAGATTTCACACTTCCCTGGAGTCCACAATCCACTCTCAACTTTGACACCTTGCTAAATTTTTTTTTGAAAGATAAAGATCATTCAACATGAATTTCTTCACAATACCTCCTCTCCTCACTTAAGTTTTATGAATACTTTTGTCCAACCTTTCTTTGTCTCTCCCAGCTTAGTTTCTCTCCTTCTAAGGTCAACCTTCCTCTTAGGCCCTTGATATACTCCCTCTTGCTTCCTCCATTGCTTCCTCTCTCTTCTGTCTTCAATGTCTCCCTCTCTGTGCAACCTTGCCCTTCACCTCTCCAAGTGTTCCCCATCCTTTAAGAACTTGCATTCTTCCCTGCAGCCCCCCTGAAACTACCAACTTCTCTCTCCCCTGGGGAAAGTACTAAAGTGGACAGAACATTCCTTACCTTTGCAGGAATAGTAAGAAAGTTTTCCCTGCAGGTTGTAAGTTTCAATATTCTGTATCAGCTCTCAAATCCAAAAGAGCTGCTCCAGCTGGAGGGTCCAGGACTGCTTAGACCATTGAAGAACTCTCCTTTGGGTGGAAAGCTGGAAGCTTTGTGTAATATCCGGAAGTACTTGGCAATGCATTTGATTAACTGTAAAGAAGTGTCTTGCAGTTTCTATGTGACTGCAGTGTGAACCAGGCCAGGGAGGCAGCCCAGTTTGGGTAGGCCCCAACACACTTCTTTATTTCCCTAATCTCTCTCAATCTATCACTAAGTCCTGACAATACTATTATTTTAATATCTTCTGCCATCTGTAATTACTAACTGCTCCCTGGCTGCAGCCTTGCCCTGCTCCATTCCATTCTCCATACTGCAACCAGAACAACTTTCTGGAATTCTTCAATGGCTCCCTAGCACCTAAGAAACAAATTCATTATGACATGGCTCCTGTCTGTCTGTCTCTCCCTCCCACCTACCCCATGCCAAGCTCCAGCCAATTGTTCACCAGATTCCCCCACTCTTTCCAGCCCTTCTGCCTTGCCCTTTGCTTGTTCTTTCCCCTCCACCCCAAATCACTCCCTTTCCTTGACTATCTTCTATTTGTTCTTCAGGACAGTTCAAGGATCATCTTCCCAGCAGCTCCAGGGCATCTTCCACCACCATTCCAACCCCAGATTGACTTAGGTGTCTATCCCAGGTGCTCTCGGGTATCCCAGGCATTCCTTTATCTAGGTACTTTTCATGTTGAGCTGTTCGCACCTGATTCTTGTCTGTATCACAAACCAGACTATTAGCTCTTTATCAGAAACTGCATCTGATTTGCCTTTGTAGTCCCTCTGTTCAGCATAGGACCTGACACATACACATACATAAGTGCCTCTTGAATGAATAAATTAGATATTGAATAAGAGATAAAATGGATACTTTTAACATTCAGTACCTCAGTAGTGTTTATTTTCATGCTCTTTTACAGTAAGTAAAAAGATGAATTTGTACAGATTATGGGAAAGAGGTAGTGTTAAAAAGAAATGAAAGACTCAGAATTAAATAGACCATATATACCACTACTACAAACGTTTATGGAGGGTGCACTATTCTAAGCATTTTACATGTATTGACTCGCTTAACCCTCAAAATGTTCCCAATTTTATAGAAGAAATTTTGGAACAGGAAGGTTAAAAACTTATCCAGGGAGTGGCTGGCCTGAGATGAAAACCTGGCAGAGCCTATGGACTTTTTTCTTTTCTTTTCTTTTCTTTTCTTTTCTTTTCTTTTCTTTTCTTTTCTTTTCTTTTCGAGACAGGGTGTCACTCTGTTGCCCAGGCTAGAGTGCAGTGGTGCAATCACAGTTCACTGCAGCCTCGAACTTCTGGCTTAAGTGATTCTCTCACATCAGCCTCCTGGGACTACAGACATGTGCCACCATGCACGGGTAATTTTTCTTTTACTTTTTATTATTTAATTTTTTAGTGGAGATGAGGTCTTGCTATAGTACCCAGTCTGGTCCCAAACTCCTGGAATCAAGTGATCCTCCCACCTCAGCCTCTCAAAGTGCTGAGATTACAGGTATGAGCCACCACACCCTGCCACGCCAGTGGTTTTAACTACTACATTGCACTGCCTGCCAGGTGGCCATAACTGTGTAGAAAAATGATGAGTGGGTCATTTGGCCTCACTCATCTGTACAGTCACCTCAATTTTTCTGTTTTTTTTCTGCTTTAACTTAGAAACTCACAACTTTAAATATATTGATTTATCATCATGGAATGATATTTGAGAGTTTTTCCTGGTGGGCTGGAAACATCTTTGTAGCCAGCTCCTCGCCAGTTGCTAAGAGGAAGTAATAGTACAAGATAGGTGGCAGGTTAAGTGTCAATTACATGCATTGTGTTTCCTTTGGAATAAATTTTCCTACATCCTAAGGAAGTGACTGTTTAAAAGTGCTGATACCTATTTGTGAGGTTGTATTTTTTTAATGATAGTTCAAAGAAACACAAACCACTGAGGGAAACTAAGATTTCAAGGACCCTGTGAGAAGCCTTTGCCACCACATGAGGCTTCTGACATCAAAGGAGTTAACAAAGATAAAGAGAAATTAGAGAAAGGGGATGAGAGAGGCTGCTGTTACAATTTTCTATGGTAAAAGAAGAAAGGTTTGGGTTTCTTTAAAAAGAGATAGAGAGAAAGCATAGATCTGGACAGGCAAAGTCAGGCAAATGTGAAAATCCAGATAACTTGGCAAATGAAGTCTCAGAAATCATTCTGTGGCAAATCCCAAAACAGGAAGATAAAGAGGAGATGTTGGATTTGACTCACAGCCTTTAAATATTGGGTTTGTTTTTTCTTTTATTTTATCTTCATTTTTGGTGGTGGTGGTGGCGCACGCGCGCGCGTGTGTGTGTGTGTAGGTGGGTGGTAGGGGTGGTGGCTGGTGTACAGGAACCAAAACGAGGGAGAAAAGAGATTTCAGCTTCATACAGCTTAAACAGAGGTTCCTACTGCTTCAAAAAGATTCAACATCACAAGAACTTAGCTGCATTTCTCTACCCTGTAGGGAGGCCATAGAAACAGAAATGGCAGTGGAAAAAGCAAACAAGTAGGAAAAAAAATCGGTCCTGAGCTATCCAAAAGCGAACCTGGTGGTGGTAGAGAAAAATCAGAAAATATAGTCACCTTGAAACTATACCTCCAGCTCCAAGAGTTCTGATGCAATATTTTGCTTTTTGATTAGCAAACAATTCTCTGCAGAATACATGATTATTTCCAGAACTTGTAACTTATGATACCTCATTTTCTTCACCTCCAGTACTTTGAATGTTCTTTTAATAATAACGAACTGGAGCTTATCTACATCCTGGATGGTTTCGTAAAACCAAATAATTGGTGAGCATAGGAAGCAGGTTTATTTGCATTTAATTTTTTTTAAAGAGAAATTCTGCCACCCTCTGGACAGAAATCAAAGATCTATTTCTTAGAGATTCACCAGGGAATACTGTTTAAAGCACTTGCCCCTGAAAATAAACATTAAAAAAAAAAATCTACCTTCTAAAACAAAAGAGGATGAGGTAGGGTAGGAATCACAGTTGCTTTAGCTAGCATAAGCAATACCTGAAAAACATTAATTAAAAATACAAAACTGACTCTAAGGAGTTTTAAACTAAAGAGAAAATGGTCTCAGAGCACATTAGAGAAACAGCCTACATTACTGCTCTTCAGTCTACAGTGGCCAAGTAAGGGTGTTTCACACAATCTCAGCCATGGTTGCTTTTATACAGTTACCTTTACTGGTAAAAAAGAAGTCCAAATTTCTATTAAATGTAAATCCATATATCTGTTGATTTTTAACTAGAGCTAACTGAACCCCAGGGCAGAGTAAGATTTCAGCCACTTGAGAGAAATTGGCCGGAAGAACACAAATGGGCAGTTTGTTTCCAAAGCTCTCCTGCTCTCATCCACTGGGCATGGAGTACTTAATGTCATGTAAATAAAACTCTTAAAAATGCAGGCATGTGATAATTACCAGTAATAATGCTGGGCAAATCAAAACACATGACATGACATATTTATAAACAACCACAGGGAGAAAGAATAAAGAGAGTATGGTACCTGGTTTTCGCAACAGGATTTAGGTGCTTCTGGTCTTGGAGAACCTTGGCCAGCTGTTTTTGCAGAAACAAAACCTTTCCATGTACTCCTTTAATAAATGGGTGGTCAAGGAGATGTGTGACAGAAGGTCGCCTTTCAAAATCCTTAATAAGACACCTGTTCGCAAAAAATCAACAAACAATCCAAAGTACAATCTTAGACACCCTGTTCCCCTATGAATATGGAAGAGAGAGAGAGAAGGTAAAAACTCATTTATAAAACCTGATCAAACAGCTCTTTCTTTATTAATATGTGCCAGAAAATAGAAAAATAGTAGTTCTCTATTAGTTGAATTAATTAAAACATCGGAAATCTTAGTTTGTTTTAAGCAAAGTTGAAAACACAATTTCTACCATCAATTTGAATTTTTACCATCAATTTTTAAATTGTTAAATTTAAAATTTTTTGTGTTGACACCTATTTGTGAGGTTGTATTTTTTTAATGCCATCAATTGTATTTTTTTAAACCTCTAATTTGAATTTCAACACTGAAAATAGACTGCTCAATATTCTATCTGCATTTTCATTACAGAAAAATATTTTCAGTGGAGTCAAGTTGATTCGTATATATACTTTCTTTCAGAAATATGTAGAATTAAATACTATCACTTCTATTAAATCCTAATATACAAAAAGCCCCTTGTATAGTGGTGGGGAAATGCATTTAGGAGTTTATAAGGAAAGAAACTAATCATAAAGAAACATTCACAGAGAAAGTTTGGCAGCTTGATTTCTAATGTCTTCTGAAGAACCAGAAAAACCACAGAACAGGAAGTGACTACGATATAATTCAGATGAATTTGGATAGACTTATACAAACAAGGAACAAAAAGTCCATTCAAAATGGCAAAAATTGGGTTGCATTTAAATTCTTCTGTAGTTAATTGGTTAAAACCACACCGGTTTAACTACTTTCTGTTTCAGATCCAAAATCCTTTTCAAAGCAAACAATGATTTAGCACAGTTTGCTGCACCTTCTGTGTTATTCAAGATGATTTCGATACAGGGAAATTTCTAGCAAAGTTGAATCTGATGAATACCCCTCCAACTGCCATCACATTTCTAGTCTGCGTAGCTGCCCTTGGATAGAGGAAGAAATTTTAACATCCACCCTTTTAAGCTATCAGTCCACATCGGAGGCTTAGGATAAATGGATGCCATTCTGCCCACTCCATGAAATAAACGTCTTTAGTTTTCTTAACAGTGGCATGCCAGCATCATCTGAAATACAGCATTTTTTTTAACGAAATTCACTGACGAATGGTAAAAAAGTTCAGCCTCACCTTGAACATGATTTCAAAACATTTAAGCAGAGTTCTTGAAACAATCCACGACCGTTAGACTTACAAAAAAGCTTTAGCCTTTGCAATTTTCCGGTCAAAACACTTTCATATCCCCTACCTTCTAGTCCTGAAAAGATATTCGGCAAATTTCCCAGTCAGTCTGTTTTAGAATTGATTCAGGGGATTCCCTGTCTATCGGAACTGAAGCTTTCAGCTAGAAAAGCCAACAGAACCTAAATTATCTCCATTCTGCGGCTTGCAGGACCATAAATACCACCTCCGTCTTGCCATGAGAAGAAATACATCATTTGACTTTTGTAGGTTCAGGGCCTTTTGTATAATCTATTATTTTTCTGTGAAAAATAAAGAATCAGTGCATATACTTTAAAAAGACTGTGTTCATGTCTTTATATCAGCAATCTTCTCTTGATTCCTTGTATATTCACCTCTATATGTAACTATCAAAGCTAATATGGTCTGATATTATGTAAACATGCTAATAATCATGTTTCCTGAAAAAAGAAGGAACCCAAGATACTGTCAGAAATATAGGTGTATGGTCCAGTCCTCCTAGCATTAGGAAGAGTGTATAAAAACTCCTAAGAGAAATAGTCCTTATGTCCTCTGAGAGTTCCTACTGAAGATGCACCTCAGAGAAATTGGTAGGAACTGCTGGATCTGAAGCTGAGCCTGCCCAGTGATTTTTAATAAGTCACATTATGTCGGTTTCTCATCACAAAATAGGTATATCAGTATTGAAGTATTTCCCAAACATGGGGAGAGAAATTTGTTTCCTCACATAATATTCATCTCACCCATCCCCAACCCTTCCCAACTTTTTTTTTTCCTGTTTTAATTATTGAATCATCATCTGAATATTAAAATATACAATTTTAAATATTGAATCATCATCTAGTAGATGCTCATTGAAAAGAAAGAATGAACAAAAGGACCAGGGCACCCTCAATAGCCTGTTGGCTAGTGGCAACACTTCAAATTAGTAAACTCAGGAGCAGAGGCTGAAGGTGGGAGAAGGCAATTAATAAAAAATTCACAGCATGTGAAGGGGAAAATGGGCTGGAGCTGCCTCTACCTTCCCCCTTAAGATAGGTACCTCAGGGCAGTGTTCCAGGTGAGGCCTGAAAACAAGGTCCTTTGGATACTTCGGTAAGTAAAGCTCCTTGAACAGGGATTGAGAAAGACTGGGAAACCCATACTCCATCCAGCCTTATGAAAATATGTTTCTGCTAGAGTCTAAGGATGCAGTTAAAGGTGGTATAGCTTGTTTCACAATGTTAGCATCCACTGGAGAAGGAAGGCTTCCAACAAGGTTGCAAGATTGTTTGATATGCTGGAGAGGGTTCCTCTCTAGATTATGGAGGAATCAAAGAAATGAGTGAATAACGAAGTCAGAGAATTAGACAAAGAAGAAACTAACAAGTAAATCTGTTATTTCTTGAAGATTAAAAAAAAGTGATGATAGTGGGCATTCTACTTTCTGGAAGCAATGATCAAGAGGCCCTGTTGGCCAGGCATTGTGGCTCACGCCTGTAATCCCAACACTTTAGGAGGCCAAGGTAGGAGAATCACTTGAGCCCAGGAGTTCAAGGCAAGCCTGAGCAACATAGTGAGACCTTGTCTCTACTAAAAAAGAATTTAAAAATTAGCAGAGCACACCTGTAGTCCCAGGTACTCGGAAGGCTGAGGCAGGAGGATCACTTGAGCCCAGGAGTTTAAAATTTCAGTGAGCTGAAATGACCACACCACTACACTCCAGCCTGGCAACAGAGTGAGACCCTGTCTCAAAACAAAAAGGCTTTGTTAGCTCTCCAAGTAAGACAGACTGAAGTGGGTTGAGTGTCTGTCATAATAAACCACTATTAACTTCAGTAGGGATGGCACCAGTTTCAGGAGGCCAAAGGAGAGACCCAGAGCCAACGAATGAGACACAGGGTTTTATCAGGAGAAACTTACAAACAGGGATGATCCAGTGGCCGTGTGCTGGACAGAAGAACCGCCACTGCATGCGAAAAGCATTTTCACTTCACGCCTTCCTCCTAACAACCTTCACCTGGCAACCTTCATTTAACCCAGAACAAAGAGTCTCACTCCCCCTTACGATGATGTTCCACAGGAAGGGCCCAGAGCTCAGATGTTCCCTATCGATAAGGAATTGACCTCTGGGTTGGCCGTATTCTGAACTCCAAACACATATTCAGGTGCGACTGCCATCCTCAGACCATCCTCGGGTATGCTCAAGTTAAATTATAGCTGTCAGGTGTGTCGACCATGCACCATCATACCACAAGAGCAGCAAAACTGAAACTGACTGTAAAGGGAAAGAATGCTAAGCAGAGTTGTGACTCTCCAATTGCACTGGAGGATTTTTAGGGGAAGGGCATGAAGAACTTGAGGGCCTAGCTTTATTTTAAAATACTCCTCTATATATTTTTTCTCATATGAAGCAAAGAGCCAGTCTGAAATGGAATTATTATTTTACAGATTAAAAGAGAAAAGTTATTCTTTAAGTGCAGACAGGGCTGGAAGTCCTGCGTTACTAGATATCAGGGTGTAGGATCGTATCATTTACTCAGCAAACATTTATTACACAGCACCAGAATTAGCCAAAGTACATAAATTAGAAACCATGACCCTTTTCCTCAAGGATCTACAATCTAATTGGAAAGATGGAAGGACAAGAGAAACACATGAAACAGCAAAAGTTATATGTTTTCTTGTATCTTTAGGATAAGAAATAGTAACACAAAAGCATAGGGTTTCAGAGCCACAGGGACTGAGATTTTCGATTCTAACCCCTCTTTTAAGAGGTGAAGAGACTGAGACCAAGTCCTCACAGTGATGAGGTCATTTCCTTAACTCCCACAGGAGGACTCGTCCTACTCTGCTCCGTTTTGCTAAAAGTGGCAAAGGTACAATCTACAAAACAATTCTTCAGGGCCAGAGGGAAGAACTAGGCAGGGAAGACTTCCTGGAGCTGGTAAGAAATGAGCTAGGTAAGTCTTGGGGAAAGTTTTGGAACTAAATTGAACTAAACTAAACTGGGGGAGCAAAGGCAGAAGTCATTTTAAGATTGGAGAACCAGATTGGCAATGCAAGAAGCAAGACCAGGCAAGCTGTAAAGCCGGCAACTCAGGACACCACCAGAACACTGACCTTCATTCACCTCTTAAGCTGCTTCTCTTGAGCGCCTAAGAACAATTATGCCTTTAGTCCCTTTACCAACTTTAACTAGGGGATAATTGATATTGCTTAAGACTGTGTAGGCTGTGCCCAAAACTACTGTTTAAGTTTGTTGGCTTGTCATTTCTATCCCTGGTCAGCAGAGGTTTAGAGGATGAAGATGAAACTGACAGCTGGGATTCTTAAAACTCCTGATAGCCTCCATGTCCTTTTATAAAGCAAGACAGAACTCCTTTAACCTGATTTGGAGAACAAACAAAACTAAAGAAGTTCTAATATACTTATTCATTTCAGGTATAGCTTTTTAAACCAGGAATTGCAAATTCCAAATGAAGAATATCTTCTCCCAGCCAGGGACTGAGCAGTTTTTACAAAAGGATGCATAAAATGTTAAACTCTGTATGGGGTTGGGGGCCAGCCAATGTTAGGTGAATTAGGGGAAGCCCTAGACACATAAAGCATTCCATCAAAAAAAGAAACTAGTTTCCTAGTCAAAAGAATTTGGAAAACATTGGTGATTCTCTAAACCAAGTAAGTTTGGAGTATCATAATGCACACAAGCCTATTAAAGGTTCTTACAAGTACTAGGGTTAAAAAAAAAAAAAAAAAGGTTTAATTCTGTTTGAGTCCACG